ATGGATTTTCTATTTTAATCAAATATAATGGTGGTGTTTGAGGAATTGATACTCTTAATTGATAAGGAGATGTAGAGATAAGGACTGTACAATTCCGTCATATTCAGAAATAATGAATCAAGCAGCAGCAAGACAAAAAGATTGAAAATCAAAGAGAACATTAGGACCAGTAGACAGCAGGAGTGGTTATATTAATACATAGAAGGAAATGGATTTGATAAAGGATTAAATGGACAACTAACAGAATAGGGTAAAGAAAAGAGAATGATTTTCTTAGATATAGAATTTCAAGCCTGGAAAACAGGAAGTATCACTGAGAAACATGAAAATCAAGAGAATAAATGGTTTGGCTGAGTATGTTTTTCATCCGTCTGTAATCAGGTATTCCTAACACAGCAGTGGATGTACTGATCACAGTATTGGAAAAGTGAACAGTCAGGACTGAAGAGGTTGTTTGGAAGTGATCTCCATAGCAGTGATAGTTAAAATCATAAAAGTAGCTGATGTATAGATACACTGTAGAAAGATTGCAACTGGCTATTTAACACATGCATTACCTCACACAGTTATCATTTTTAAAGTGAGAACACTTTACATTCAATTAGCATTTTTCAAGAATGCAATTTATTATTCACTGTAGTCACCATGTTATACAATAGGTCTCTTGAACTTATTCCTCCTATGTAAATGAAATTTTTTATCCTCTGACCAACATCTTCTCAACCCCTCTCCCACTACCTCAGCCCCTGGTAACCACTACTCTATTCTCTACTTTTGTGATACTGTTTTTAGATTCTGTGTATGAATGAGGTCATGTAGTAATCAACATTCAGTGTCTGGTTAGTTCATTTAACATAATTTCCCCCAGATTCCATGTTGTCACAAATGATAGGATTTCATTCTTTTTTATGGCTGAGTAGTATTCCATTGTGTATTTCACAATGGAATACACTTCAGAACATAATGTGATGCATAGTAAGTACTTACAATTTTATTACCTAATGTAAAAAAGAAAATAGATGAGTGTGCTAAGGGAGAAGATAATGAAGAAATTTAAAAGGGTCAGCACAGATTCTTGGGGAGATGTGCATTTGACAGATGAGAGCAGGTGGAAGACTCTGAGAAGGGGCTGTTGGATGTAAGGGGAAAGCAATGTCAATAGAGCAGATCACAAGATCAGGAGTTAGAAACCAGCCTGGCCAACATGTTGAAACCCCGTCTCTACTAAAAATACAAAAATTAGCTGGGCATGGTGGTAGGCACCTGTAGTCCCAGCTACAGGAGGCTGAGGCAGGAGAATTGCTTGAACCCGGGAAGGGAGGTTGCAGTGAGCCAATATCATGCTACTGAACTCCAGCCTGGGTGGCAGAGTGATTCCGTCTCAAAACAAAACAAAAACCAAAATAAGAAAGTGTTTCAGGGATCACTTGGTCAGTAATTTCATGAGGTATAAACAAAGTAAGGATAATGAAGACAGAGAAAAACAATAAAAATATTCTGTGTTTCCTGGTCACTGGAAAATTTTAGAGTAGATATTAGAAAATTGTAGTCAACAGGTCAAATCTGTCCTGCTGCCTGCTTTTCTATATGAGCTAAGAATGGACTTCACATTTTTAACTGGAAAAATATCAGAATAGATGTGATCAGAATAATATTTGTGGCATGTGAAAATTATGTAACATTCAAATTTCAATGTCTATAATAAAGTTTTATTGGAATAGGCCCACACTGATTTGTTTACATAGTATTTATGACTGCTCTTGCAATGTAACAGAATAACAACTCTGCAAGTTGAGTAACAGAGTGATATGGTATGAATTGCAAAGCATATATCACTATCTTATTTACAGAAAAATTCTGCTGACCTCTCTTTTAGAGTTAAAATAGTAAATGAAATCTATGCATTAAAATGCCTAAAAAGCTCATTGGATAGCTCAGCTTTTCCTTGAAAAATAGAGGATAATATTATAGAGTTCTGATATTCACTGCAGAGAGTAAAGATCTGAGTCTATTTGTGTAAGTAATGATTGACAGTTAACATTACATAACTTAAAAAGTGTTATGTGTCATTTGATGTCCAAAACAGCCTGTCAAGGAAAGATCATGGTATATAGTTTAAAGACGAGGAAACAGGCTGGATGTGCTGGCTCACACCTGTAATCCCAGCATTTTGGGAGGCCGAGGCAGGTGGATCACCTGAGGTGGGAATTTCAGGACCAGCCTGACAAACACAGAGAAAACGGTGTCTACTAAAAAAAAAAAAAAAAATTGGCCGGGCGCGGTGGCTTAAGCCTGTAATCCCAGCACTTTGGGAGGCCGAGGCGGGTGGATCACGAGGTCAACAGATCGAGACCATCCTGATCAACATGGTGAAACCCTGTCTCTACTAAAAATACAAAAAAATTAGCTGGGCATGGTGGCACGTGCCTGTAATCCCAGCTACTCAGGAGGCTGAGGCAGAAGAATTGCCTGAACCCGGGAGGTGGAGATTGCGGTGAGGAGAGATCACACCATTGCACTTCAGCCTGGGTAACAAGAGTGAAACTCCATCTCAAAAAAAAAAATTAGCTGGGCATGGTGGTATATGCCTGTAATCCCACCTACTCAGTTGGCTGAGGCAGGAGAATCACTTGAACTTGGGAGGGGGAGGTTGCGATAAGCTGAGATGGTGCCATTGCACTCCACCCTGGGCAACAAGAGCAAAACTCCATCTCAAAAAAAAAAAAGGTGAGGAAACGTAGATTCTCAACAATGTGACTATTCTTTGGAGAACAATTGCACTCAGAGGTCAAAGTGATAGAGAGATATCATCATGGAGAAACTGGGTATATTGGTATATTGTGGGCAATATCATTCATGTTTGTTGACTTGGCCATAGAACAAAAACTCTAGAGCTATATTTTCTGATTTACATCCTGATTCTACCATTGACTGACACTGTCATCTTGATTAATCACTTAACATTTCAGAAAGACTCAATTTCCTCACTTATAAAATTGGGATAATAATAATTCCTCATAGAGCTGCTATGAAGATTGAAGTTTAAATACGTTTGTGGTTTCTAGAAGAGTGTCCATCATGTGTGTTAGCTATTTTTCTTGTGTTTGGTAACATATTCTAAGATCAATAGATACACAATATAATCTTATTCATATGGCAGTAATTCAAAAGGCCTTTGACAGTTATTTATATCAGAATTCTGCTCTATAGATCTAAGCAGAAGCCTAGACATATAGCCACCTGGCGATATACATCAGAGACTCTGTTTACCTAATTTTTTTAAGCTTTGTACCTCAGTTTCTTTGTTTAACCTGCACAAAATAATTCAATAAAGAATTTTTCACCTAGACTTTCTAAACATCAAATATTCTCTTAAGTCTTGTTTTGGAATTTTCAGGGTGGTTGAAATTGATTGATGACATATAATAAATCATAGATGCACTTAAAACCTTCTGTAAAGATGTTAGTAACTTAATGTTTTGTTGCTGCTGTTGTTTCCCCTGTGAAAAAGGACTAGAATTCTCTAGATCTCTTAATTTTGCAAACTCTTGCCCACCTTTTGGTCCTTATCTTGTCAGAGGTAAATGTCTGTTGTTGTAATTCATCATTTGAGTTGAGATGTTATTAAGGAGATGAAGTGCACCAATGAGCTCCCTGTCCGCAATAGGGTCAGTCTCAATCTTATCCAACAATCAACTCTGTTCCCTGCATGGCAGGTGGATAGCAGTTGCAATTACTGTCATGTTGTGTCTAGGGAAACTTAGACAGGAGGGTTAAGTAACTTCCTCAAGGTCATATTGGAAATCGGTGGCATTCCAAGTAACAGAACTTGGAATACACTTAGCCAGTTCAGCTCTTAAATAGCTTTAACTTTATTAAGAGAACAGTAAATAATTTTCCATAATACCAGTGTATATTCAGCAATATTTATTAGATCTAGCATCACGAATACAGAATGTAAAGAGAATAGATACAGAATGTAAGAGAAGCCCCAGTTGAACCTATTTTAGCTATTGTTATTTGAATGTTTTAACACTTTTTATGAGAATAGAGAGAATGATAATGACTGGTAGTCAAGATAGAGAAAACTCATTTCTATTTTTGAGCTAGTTTAATGGGTTGGTGGCTTACAATTTACATAACGTGCTTGCATATTACTTTTCATTTCAGAAGTAGTGAGCTGTGTCTTCATTTACGTGCTTTACCATATGCCAGCAGTAGTAAAAGTTGCTCTTCTCTTACAACCTCACATAGGACACATTTCCTGAGAGAAGAAACTACAGACTACTTTCAGATGCGAAGAAGTAGCGCTTGTATCAGTTAAAAACGTAGTCTCATGTAGCTTAATTTGATTCTTCATAGAAAAAAATGCAAATAAAATAGAAAAATATATATTAGACATATATAAATATATTTTGATTATTGAAAAAGAAATAGCCACTATTTATGGAACATTCACTATGTGTCAAGCATTATGCTAAGACATTTAAAGAAAATTTCAAACCAAAAGCATCATTGTTTATTTTCTTTATTATGTTAAAGTTAAGGCATGACTAATTCATTCTGTAATTACTCACACACATATAGGTAGACATAGTCTCATTTCAAGTTAAATTATGTTATACATCCACCTTTTTATATGCACTTTTCTAACAAAGGTGATGTATTACACTAAATTTGAGCTTGTTTAAAATTTGAAATGCACTAGAAATTTGCAAAGTCCCGTATTTATATTATAAAATGTATGTAAGTATGTTGGACACCAGGTTCTACAGTCTTAATCTCAAATGCAACAATATAATTCTAGAGCACATTATTATAATTTAATAGATTTTTATATGAAAAATTAAGCCTGGAAAGTTTTGATTGAATGATTTTAACAATATTGTGTCTCTGATTTTGAATGATTAAGTTTTGTGAATATCCTATAATGTCTACTTATTCCTAAAATGCTTTTGACATAGTAGAATGATTTTAATTCTAATTATCACATGTTTTAGGCTAAAATGACTCAGCTGCCTGAGGCAGAAAAGGAAAAGATTGCTGAGCAAGTTGCTGATTTCAAGAAAGTCAAGAGTAAGCTGGATGCTGAGATTGAGATATGGGATGATACAAGCAATGACATCATTGTTCTGGCCAAGAACATGTGTATGATCATGATGGAGATGACAGACTTCACCAGGTAATTATATGGAAAATGATGTGTAATACTCATAATGGCTAAAAATATTAGTTATTAGTGAAACTTCAAGTTTCTCTTGAGTGTCAAGGGCCAAAATCAAGTGGTAAGGGAAAAGCAAATATAGCATTAGAAGGTTGCAGGTGTGGCCGGGCACAGTAGCTCACACCTATAATCCCAGCACTTTGGGAGGCTGGGGTGGGCGGATCATGAAGTCAAATGCTCAAGACCATCCTGGCCAACATGGTGAAACCCCATCTCCACTAAAAATACAAAAATTAGCTGGGTGTATTGGCTCACGTCTGTAATCTCAGCTACTTGGGTGGCTGAGGCAGGAGAATCACTTGAACCTGAGAGGTGGAGGTTGCAGTGAGCCCAGATCGTGCTGCTGTACTCCAGCCTGATGACAGAGTGAGCTTCTGTCTCAAAAAAAGAAAGTTGTAGCTTTACAATTCTAGAGGTTCAATCAATAAATAAATATGGCAAAGTTTCTCATCAACATCTGTGGAATTGTTTAGACATCACTTACACTTTCTCACCTTCACCTTCCCCAGCCATTTGCTCTGTGTATCATATTAGCTCATGACTTCTACAGAGAATTTGGTAAACCAAGTTATTACCTGGTATTGGAACTATCTGAATGGCTGACTTTCATTGCTACATAATTTTAGTTATAGTGATTTATAGTATAATCAGGATAGTGGTATCTTTTGCTTCTGAGATCAGAACTAGATATATTTACAATTACAATCACTTAATGATAGCTATGACAAAATGTACATGTGGCCATATTCCAGAAGTAATAAAAATGTTTGTATTATTTTAAAATATCATTTCATAGAGCTAGTCAAAAAGCAGTAAAATATATAGTCGCTGTGCTACTAGTTAATAAAGTATAAAAACTATAACAACTAAAATAATTTAGTCATGGTGTAGTTATAAAAGCCACAGAACAGAAAGATACACTGAAACAGACCTAGTGTACTTAGGAAACCATTCATTTATATAATCATATAGTACTCATTTATATGGCACCATGTACCAGTGGTATATTCATTTATACCCCAAAATAACTTTCAGATGGAGTAATGAAGTAACTGTTATCTTTAAAATCATAATTAATGGAGAAATGTACACAAATCTTTTCATGATATTAAAATTGAGAAAGAGTTCATGAAAATTACATACAAAATAACTTACAAAGAAAGGATTGTTAAATTGAACTTCAAAAAATGCACATCAATAGAAAGTCCTAAGAAATATTGAAATGTAAATGGATAGCTGGGTAAACAAAAATGTGATTCCATTTATAGATAAAGAATATTTGCAGACATAATAAAAAATAATATTGTAATGGAAGAATGGACAAGAATATGAACATATTATTAACCAGAAATTTTCTCCTCATAAGAGTTATGACCAATAAATATTTGAAAGTATTTAAAATACTTAAAATAAGATGTATTTAAATCTATCAAATTGACCAAAACTTTTAAAATAGGCTCAATACAGATTATGGTGGTGATAACCTAAATGGCATAAGCCTTATAGTAATGTGGGAATATGTATAAACTAAAAATCTTTGTAAACTTCTCATATGTGCATCATCTGTATCCATATCTGTACTTCAGGGAACCTATCCAAAGGAAATAGTATAAGGTGATAAACTTTTTTGAATAAGGATTATAGGGGCCAAAGGAAACCTTTGGTCTTTGAAAGTTTGCTGAAAAATCAACTCACAAGAGGCAGATTAATAGGTGAAAAAACATATAAATTTACTTATTATGTATACATGGTAGGTTTCAGAATGAAGACCCAAAGACACAGGAGAAATTGTTTAAGTTCAACAAAGTATGGACAGTTATGTGGAAATATGATAGGGCAGGCTGCGCGTAGTGGCTCATGCCTGTAATCCCAGCACTTTGAGAGGCCGAGACTGGTAGATCAAGAAGTCAGGAGTTCGAGATCAGCCTGGCCAACATGATGAAACCCAGTCTCTACTAAAAATACAAAAATCATCCAGGTGTGGTGGCAGTCACCTGTAATCCCAGCTACTCAGGAGGCTAAGGCAGAAGAAGTGCTTGAACCCAGGAGGTGGAGGTTGCAGTGAGCTGAGATCATGCCACTGCACTCCAGCCTGGGTGACAGAGCAAGACTCTGTCTCAGGCTAAAAAAAATATATATATGATCAGACAAATAAGGTATAATATTATGTTAATAGACTGAGTGGGGTACCCAGCAAGGCCTGTCTCTCTAGATTTTTCTTGGCTTCTCTGAACATGTATTTCTACCTTCCGGATATAGGGCAAGACCCAGGTGGAATGGGGTCTCATGACCTACAGTCAAACAAGATAGGTCAGAAAATTATTGTATGACTGTTACACAAAGAGATGGAGATCGTTTTAGATTAATATTTTTTATGTTTTATGGCTAGCTTTGGGGAGAAGGGCTTCTGGCTTCTGTGACCCCCCCTTGAAGAAGACGGATTTTAATATTTATGACTAGCCCCAGGGGACAATGGGAATGAGCCATAGGAGAACAGGAGAAAATGAGAGAATATCTTTTGCTTCTCAGGCTGCTGCTAAGGCCTTCATTTTGGGGTATTTTCTTTTCTGAGCCCCAACAGAAGAACTATAGAATTATTTAAAATAATAGAATATTTGGGATGATTAAACATATGGTTACTGCCATATGAAAAAAGAGCTGATACAAAACAAAGTCGAGTTTTTAAAAGAGTGTAAAAGTAGTCTAAATTGTATAATCGATTATAATATATGGATATTCTCCTATGCATATTTCTTCTTTGTTTTGTTTTATACCAAACTTTTTACAATAGAATTCAGTTCTACTTTTTATTCTTTTGAAATAAATCTGCTTTCCAAAGATTATGTACAGGGCAGATTTCATTGGAAAGTGAGAAAATTAAGTTTATTGTGTATTGTACATGGAATTTCATAAAAATACCTCCTCAAATGTCTATTTCTATTTTTCCTTCTTAACTCTTGCCATTTTTCCAATTCTAGCTCACAGCTTCTAATGTCTTCTTATTCCTCTTCATACAGAGAATAATTCAGTTTTGACCCATCGCTCAACTTCTGCAGGCAAAGATTCTGAGAAATCTGTATTTGTCTCTGCCTCTCTCTTTCTCTCTGTCTCTGTTTCTCTCTTTCTCCACACAATCACATGCATATATCATACAAACATACATAACATAGACATGAATATGCCTGTATAAAGGAAACAAAATGGCACCTTCATAGTATTAAATAATGACTATGAGCCTGGTGTGGTGGCTCACACCTGTAATTGGGTGTTCGAGAACAGCCTGACCAAGAGCATCCCAGCTACTCGGGATGCTGAAGCAGGAGACTCACTTGAACCCAGGAGGTAGAAGTTGCTATGAGCCAATATGGTGCCATTGTACTCTAGCCTGGGCAACAAGAGTGAAACTCCATCTCAATAGTAATAATAATAACAATAAATTATGATTCTGTTTTAGTAGTTGGATTGTGAATAATTTACAGTTTTTAACCTTCTATAATTTGTTGCTGTTCTTTGATAAATATATAATCATTTAAAAAGTATGTAGTTTGGTTTTAGATTGGCTCTAGGAAAATGGCAGTAGACTAAATTTAAATCACTCCAGACAACCTGCTCCAAAATTAAGACCAAAAAAAAAAAAAAAAAAGGCCTTACATCATGCCAGATTGCAACATTCCTGAGATACAAAAAATAGTGTAAATTCCTAATTAGCTTTAACTAGAGAAATATACACAAAATTCCAACAAAGTTTCTGATGAAACTCTGTCATCACCATAAACCTATAGGTCTGGAGAGCAGGGATTGAGATGTTTAAAACATCTCATGAATAAGAGACATGGGAAAAGGTTATAAACAAAGCGAAAATTGGGCCAAAATGAGAATACCCACCATTAAGTGCTAAAATACTGAACACAGGCCTAGAACTTGACAGTTTGCATTGTTCAACACCCACTTATGTGTAAGAACATATGGTGTTTGGTTTTCTGTTCTTGTGTCAGTTTGCTGACAAGTGGTTGTTGAACAATGAGAACACATGGACACAGGGAGGGGAACATCATACACTGGGGTCTTTTGTGGGGTGGGGGATTAAGGGAGGGTTAGCAGGGGGTGAGGAGATTGGGAAGGGATAACGTTAAGAGAAATCGAGGCAGAAAACCACCATGGCATGTGTATACCTATGTAACAATCCTGCAAGAGCTGCACATGTACCCCAAAACTTAAAGTATTAATTAAAAAAAAAAAGAACTTGACAGTTTGCCACACTAACTACAGGGAAACAGATTAAAATTAAATGGGATTTTAATTGGGAATTTTAGAGAATCTTCAGTTTTGGGGGAACAGGAAATACAGAACAGGTGACATTGGAGGTATGCTAGTAATCGGAACAAGGGGTATAAATAGGAAATAATAAGAATCCTAGAAAAATGAAAGAGAAATGTAATATATGGCAACCTTCCCCCTTCCCACTGTCATCACCAAAATCTCATCTGTTAAGGAGAGAGTACTTCTGGGTAATGATGGAAGCTCTTTAACTAGGAACCCTGCCTGGGAAGAGGAAAATTCAGACTAACTGCATATAAAGCTATTGTAAGAAGGTATACAAAGTGAGAATCAAAACAATTCAGTAGATAAAACCATTAAAAAAAATTAAATACAGAAAAATAAAACTGTAACACAACACTTAAAAGTGAAGTAAATTTCAAAAAGATATATAATGCAAGATAAATTTTTTTAGTTTAGACTGAGAAAATTTTTAAAAATGAAGAATTCAGCTGTGAACCCATCTGGTCCTGGACTTTTTCTGGTTGGTAGGCTATTAATTGCTACCTCAACTTTAGCCCTTGTTATTGGTCTATTCAGGGTTTCACCTTCTTCCTGGTTTAGTCTTGGGAGTGTGCAAGTGTCCAGGAATTTATCCATTTCTTCCAGGTTTACTGGTTTAAGTGCATAGAGTTGTTTGT